CCAGCATTTTGTTACAGCCTTTTTCAAGCTCTCAGGAACCTAGAAAACCACGCTTGCAAGAAGTGTGGGTGCAGCTGCCACCCAATTTCTATCATTAATGCTTTACTAAGAATGTTTGGCCACGCAAAAGTTGATGCTTCTATCTATCCATCCATCTTCCTTCTAATAATGAATGTCAAATCCTGATCCACTTCTGTGAATATTTGCAAAGACTGGGTTTATACTGAGTCCAACTTTAGTGCCGTTCTTCGTTCAACACATTCATTCATTCACCAGCCTCATCCTCACAGCTCCGCAACAGGCGTCAAGTGCTCAGGGTGGGACTCCCGCTTGACCTTTGCTTTCTAGGTGACGAGGATGAGGCACAGGAAGGCCAAGGCCCTTGGACTAGAGGTTGGAGTTTGGTTTGACCTTGGCCCATCAGACTCTGAAGTCCTGTTTCTTCCCATTCATGCCATCTCTCCTTCCTCAGACTGGGCCAAGTTAGCCACACAAAGGGTACTGCCAGCCAGAATGGTTAGGGTTTAGAATAGAGTAGTAACCTGGAATGGCAGCCTAATGGCTAAAGTCCTCACCTTGCACGTGCCACGATCGCATACGGGCACTGGTTCATGTCCTGACAGCCCCACGTTCCATCTAGCTCCCTGCTTGTGGCCTGGGAAAAAGCAGTCAAGGACAGCCCAAAGCCTTGGGTTCCTGCACCCGCATGGGAGACTTGGAGGAGGTTCCTGGCTCCTGGCTTCAGATCGGCGCAGCACCAGCTGTTCCAGCCACTTGGGAAGTGAATCATCAGATAGAAGATCTTCCTCTGTCTTCCCTCCTCTCTGTACATCCGGCTTTGCGATAAAAATAAACAAATCTTAAAAAAAAATTTTTTTTAATAGACCCATTTCTCTTCATTTTTTCAGCAATGTGCATTGATAAATTGGAGTATGTTAAAGCTGAAACTTTCTGTTCACTTAAAAATGCCACTATGAGCGTGAGAAGGCCAGCCTGAAAGCAGGAAAATATATTTACCATACATCCAGCAAATGGCTTACACCCAGCACACGAAGAGTAAATCCATTTAAAAATGGACCACCCAACAGAGAACAGAGTGAGACACTTGAACAAGCACCCCACAGAAAGGACACCCAAGCGGTCCCTATGCAAATGAGAAGATGCTCAACTTTGTTACTCATCGGACAAACGCAAATTCATACTACACGTTGTTGCTTCTACTCCACACCCATCAAAATGACTAAAAATAAAATCCCTGACAGTGCCAAGTGCTGGGGAGGGTGGGGAACCACGGAAATGTTCCCTCATGGCTGGTGGGAGGAGAGGACTCTGTGACCAATACCTGGGGAAACTCCTTATCAGTAACGACTACAGACAAGCAAGACTAGAACCCGTGACCCAGACATTCCCTGGTTCATCCTCAGCATGTGCATGTATCTATCGCCAACAAAGTATGTGTCAGGATGAGAAGGGGAGCAGCACTACTGGGCGCCAAGAAAGACAGACAGCACCAAAACGTAAGCAGGAGCACAGCAGCGGTGTCGCCACACCACGGACAACGCTTGGCAATGAGAAAGAATGAGGAGCAGTGCTGTGTCCAGCCCAGATAAATTTCACAATCCTGTTGCTAAGTGAAAAATGTTCTTCCTATCACATGCAAAAATAGGGGACGTGCAGCTACTGCGGCTGGGGAGGCAGTCTCGCTGTGGACTGGGTAGTGAACCCCAAGTCCTGTCCGAGTCAGTGCAGTGCTGTCTTCAGGACAAAGTGTTGGAAGGGCAGGAGGGATTTAGGAAAAAGTGATAAGTAAGGCTTCAGGTCTTCACCCCGCAGTGTTGACTGCTATGAAACGTTTATGTGGCCTGTCTTTTTTGTTTTTCTGTATATATATAAAATTTCCTAATGAAAAGGTTTGAATCATCTAAAATCAACTTACAATAGCAGGCTCATTGTAGCCGCATACAAACTGGGTAGACCAGATGTCTGGGATATGATGCTCATGAGGAGAGCCAGTTCGTTTTGTGTTGTTTTTTGTCTTCAATGGCTTATCTTTGTAATCTTATTTAGTCCTCACATCATAGTCCTGGGAGGTGGTGACTGTTATCATACCCAGTTGCAGATGGAAAAATTGAGGCACTGTGGGGTTAGCACCAGGAGTCTTCCAGTGTTATCTATGGGGGGTGTAGGAGGCTGAGCCTGTGGCCCTGGTATCCCATATGGGTGTCCGTTCATGTCCCAGCTGCTCCACTTCCCACCCAGCTCCCTGCTTGTGGCCTGGGAAAGCAGCAGAACATGGCCCAAGTCTTTTGAGCCCTCCCCCTACATTAGAGACATGGAAAAAGCTCCTGGCTCCTGGCTCCTGGCTCCTGGCTCCTGGCTCCTGGCTTTGGATTGGCTCAACCCCAGCTGTTGTGGCCATTTCAGGAATGAATCCATGAACAGAAGATCTCTCTATCCTTCTGTCTGTAAAATGTTAAAGATATTTTAGCGTGATCTAAGGAGCCTAAGGGTCCAAAATCCTTTTTCTGGTGAGGGTGAGTTCACTGCTATTTTTGTAACGACACTAGATACGCTTGCCCTCTCTTCTAGAAAGGCTACCTGGCCTGTGATGACATCACTACTCTGCTAGCACCTGACCTGTTATGACGTCATTGCCTGTGATGACATCACTGCTCTACCAACCAAGGTCATGTTTACATGAGCGTTCTTGTGTTTCAGTTCTCAGTAATACAAGATGCAGGCTACATGGGGGGGGGGGAGGGACCCTCAATGTTTTTAAAGTAAAATGCCTTAAAGTGAAATGTTTGGGAAACTCTGATGTTGCAATTTCGCACTTGCTTCTCTCACAAGGGAAGGCACAGATATTTTCAATTTTCAAACATCAGCCACACATTCATCAAAACCCTGAAATTGCCAAATTGCCTCTGCTTTCAGAACACCCAACACAGCTGCCTCCCGCGTTTGTCAGGCAAATATTTGTGTCTCCATTGCTCCCCGGCGGCAGTTCCTTTCGTAAGCCGTGTTTGGCCAGCCTGCCCTGGCTGTTTTAAAACACACACACACACACACACACGGGTTAGGAACCTTCCAAGCAGGGAGACCACCAGGACAAGAAAGTGCCATGAGGCTTATTGATGGATATCTGGACAGTGATTGGAGAAGGGTGGGTTTGGCTAGGAGCTGCCTTAGTTATTTTCTGAACTGTAAAGGAGATTGGAAGATGGGGACCAGAATCAAACGACAGAAAATACTCTTAGGCACACACACTCGAGCGGTACCGCCCCTACCCGATCTCCCCCGGTCTCTGAAACCCACCTAAGGATGGGACAAGTGAAACCCGGGGACCTTCCCGCAGTCGCCCTGGCGCCCGTCCAGACCTCGGGGCGGATCCCGCAGTTCTGGCATCAGCAGTGGCACCCACAGCGCAGCTGGTGCTCGGCCAGGCGGGTTCGCCGCGCGGCCGCGACCTGAGTCCTCACAACAGCCCGCGGGGGCAGCAGGCCGAGCAGCCCGTTTTACAGGTGAGAAAACCGAGGGCAGACCAGGTTGAGCAACCCGCCCTGGGGCGCGCGGCTCACCAGCAGAGCTGGGGCTATGTTTTCAGGGTGACTATGGGAGGACAGGGTCCGAGGAGGAGGAGGTTAGGTTTGGAGAGGGAGGAAACCAAGGGGCTAACCAGGAAAGAGCAAAGCAGGAGCGGCTGGAAGAAATGGGGACTCCCAGGGTGCGCGCACACCTGGGAATGGGGGGACGGACTCCTCCAGGGGCGGGAGGAGGCGTCTGCGCTTTGAGGTCCCCGCAGCTGAGGAAAGGGACGCCGGGAGGGGCTGGGGGGAAGGAGGGAAAGGACTCGCGCAACCTTACCTGCCCTCCCGGTGCTCACCTGGTGGCCAGCTTGGAGGTGTCGGCAGCTGCGGTAGTGGATCTTGCGTCTCCGGGCCCCCTGCTCGCACCCCGCCCTGGAGGTGGGGAGGGGGGCGGGTGGCAGACAGGTGGGCGTGGGGCGCCAGAGACCGGCCTGACCTGTGGGACCCGGGGCCCCAGCTGTCTGGGGTGTCCGTCACCTGGAAGCAGCCGAAGCTTCCGGGGCTGGGACGGGTTGTGGGCGGCAAGAGGCCTCAGCACCAGCAAAGTCATAAATACTGCGGCGGCGCTGGTCGCCAGGGGCCGGAGACGCGCGCGGGCAGCCGGCGCCCGGGAGGGTGAGCTGGGGACTGGAGGGCGCCTCTCCCCACCTCGTCCCAGCTCCCCGCCTCTCTCCCCACACCTCTCCGGAGGGTCCGGGGTGAGCTGGAGCAGGCGTGGAAGGGCTGGATAGTGTGTGCGCAGGGTCTGGGTTGCAGGTGATTGGGATCCGGGATGGTTTGGCGGCGGGTAGTGGGGCAGGATGAGGGCGCTAACAGCTGGAGGCAGTTCTGGGGCTGGGCAAGGGCGCACTCAGCGGGCAGGGTGGATGGGGTAGGTTTGGGGTTGCTGAGATCCACGGGGAAGGCTTTAGTTGAAAGTTAGAGGGCCAAGTGGCTTGCTAAGGAGCGGGAGAGAGGAGAAGGAACACCAGGAATGTCTTGAACCCCCACCTCCACCCCACTCACCTTTTCCAAACCTGCTCCGCGGGGCGGGGGCCAGGCCCCGGGGTTCCATCACATGCTGGCTTCCTTGCCGGCTGGTTCAGGTTGGCACCTGTGCTTGACGAGGCCGGAGGGGGCAGCCGCGAGTTTCGCGAGGTGCTGAACTGCCAGCGCCGGCCAACCAGCCGGCGCCACTCCGCAGCCGTCCTCGCGTTTGTTTTTCTCCAGCCATTGCAGAACCCACCTCCTCGCCTCCGCCGCAGGGAAGCCCTCCTAGCCTCTCCCTTCCCCGACCAGGGACTGACCGCCGTGCCAGATTTCCCTCCTCCTCCAGCCAGCCTCCTAGCCCCCTTCCTGCTGCTCCGAAGGAGTCTGCGATTTCATCAAGTCCTCATACACCCTGCTCTGCGCCCCCTGCCCTCCCCTACCACCATGCACCCCCTTTCTGGCTGGCATCGCCACTGGCCCTGCTGCTGGCTGCTCCTCCTTTCCTCTCTGGGATGCCAGGGGGCCCCAGACTACCCCAGCGCCATCCCAGAGCAAGTTCACCTGTCCTACCTAGGTAAGTGTCTCTCTTGGTGGTGGTTGGCTATGGAGGGACCTGGGAGTCCAGTGTGCATGGCGCCCTAGGCTGGGGGCTTCATCTTCCGGAAGCCTCTGCTATGCTCCTCTGGGACATGGGGTCCAGGCAGCTGTGGTTGCGTGGGAAGGGGCCACAGCGACCAGTCCAGAGTGAGTGCTTTCAGCCCTTCCAGAAGGGGGCTGCTGCTTGCGGGCCCTGTCTGTGGTGTCATTGCTCTGCCTCCCGCCCCCCCCGCCAGTCACGTGGGCAGCCCAGGTGGGCTCCAGACCCTAGATCGTCAAGGGGATGGGGGCAGGGAGAGCTGAGACTCTCCCACCCTCCACAGCCAGGCTGCCCATGGGTTTGAAGCCCACCGTGCCTGCTGTGTGGCACTGGGTGAGAGACTTGCCCGCTCTGGCCTTGGCCTGCTGGTGAGGGCACTGGAGCAACCACCAGGGCCCCTCGTGGTGAGGAACCGTGAGGTGCTGCCAGTGAGACAGCACGACTGAGCTGGCCTGTAGGAGCACGTGGGTCTCTGAGTGCCCTCGTGCTGCGCGGAGCCCCTGAGGACCTCCGAAAGATAGCGTGGGCCTGAGCCATGTCTGTGTTAGAAATGGAAACCAAGACGTCAACAACTCTGCTTTTGTTCCGTTGGGTAAAATGAAGCACAGTAAGTTTCTTCTGCCTTACCGTGCATGCTATTTTTGAAAAGAACCGTTTATTTGAAAGGCAGAGTGATGGCAGGAGAGAGGAAGAGAGAGAAGGAGAGAAAGACACTTCTGTCCACCGGTTCACTGCCCCAAATGTCTGCAGCATCAAGGCTGGGCCAAGCTGTAGCTGGGAGCCCAGAACTCCACTCAGGTCTCCCACGTGGCTGGCAGGGACCCACCTGCCTGAACCATCCTGTGCTGCCTCTTAGGGTACACATGGACAGGAAACTGGACTCCGAAGCAGAGCCGGACACACACCCAGGCACCCCGATACTGGACTCAGGTGACCCCCCCGTGGGTGCCTCTGGCGCGGGGCCCAACACATGCACCGGAATTTGAATTGTGGGTAGGATGGTAGAGGCACCTGCGGTCCTTGTATTGAAACTTTTCATTTCACACTCATTTAAACTTAGCAGAAAGGTGTCAAAAATAGGACAGAACCTTCTCGTCTTACCTCGCTCCCTCTCCCGTAATGTTAAACGGCTTAAGGTAACCACTGTGTCTACAGGCAGGAAACTACCCTTGGAACAATGCTGTTAACTGACCTAGCCGCCTTATTCAATGGCCACCGCTTAAAAGATGTATTCATTTATTATTATTATTATTATTTTGAAAAGCAGATTTATAGAGGGGAGAGAAAGAGGGACGGAGAGCGTTTCCATCCGCTGGTCCATTTCCTCCCAAATGATCACAATGGTTGGAGCTGAGCTGATCCGAAGCCAGGAGCCAGGAACTACCCCCTGGTCTTCCACATGGGTGCAGGGTCCCAAGGACTTGGGCCATCTTAGGCCTCTTTTCCATACCACAGGGAAATGGAGCAGCTGGGACACAAACTGGCGCCCCTGTGGGATGCCAGCTCTTGCAGATGGAGGATTAGCCTGTTGAGCTCCCATGCCGGCCCCAATTTCCATGAGTTTTTAACATCTGCTTTCTGTTCAAGAAACTGCATCTCCTTAGCCTGCGGTCATCTGCCAGGTTCTCATTCTCACGCTCCATTTTAAGATGTTGGTGTTTTTGTGCACCGAGCAGTCAGTTCCCTTATGGGGCTTGTATAAGGTTTTTCATGATTGCAGTGAAGTTACACCTTAGGAGCCAGACAGCCTGGATGTGGTGCTGGGCCCTTTGGGGCACTTGCCAGGAGAGGATTGGTCGATGTTGCCCACAGTGTAGCCTTGTATGCCGTGGACCCTGCTTGCTTAGCTCTGGTCTTGCTTATTTGGGACATGAGAAGATGACTTCTCAAATGCCAGGTCCCGCGGTTCTTGGCTGCCGCAGTAAGGGGCATGGTGTGTGCCCAGCGACAGCCTCTTTCTGCCTCTTTGAGACTACCCTGTCCCTCTTATTGATGATTTGCATTATGAATTCATGGAATTATTTTTTCCTCCATGGGTGGAAAGCTAAGCTTGCACTGATTTATTTCTGCTGCCCTTGGCATCCAGGCTTGGTCTCTTGGAATTCCATCAGATGGACTTCTGTGTTCTTTCAGCGAGTCATTCCTGCCCCTCGCCTGGGAGTGGCACGCTGTGCCATGCTCCACAGACCTCAGTAGGCAAAACGGGGCTGTACAGGAGTGTGTGCTAACATGCAAAGTCACATATCTGTATTACCCATGTCTCTGCCGAGACACTAAATGCCATGAAATTGATGCAGACACCTCTGATTTCTGTCCCTTGGCACCTGCAATACATTACTGGTGCTAAAACCAAAATCTGTGGATACCCAAGTCCCTTCTATAAAATGATGTGGCCTTTACAAAAGAACCCAGATACTTCCTTCTGCGTAATTTAAAATCACTGTTACAAGAGAAAGAGAGAAGAAAGCTAAAGAGCAAGCCATCTCTCAGGCACTGGTTCATTCCCTCCAGGTGCAGTGCTGGGACTGGGCTGGAGTCAGCAGCCAGGAGCCAGGAGCCAGGAACACCTCCCAGGTCTCTCCCATGTAGATGGCAGGAACCCAGTGAAGTGTGCCAACCGTGCCGCCTCCTGGGGCCTGCACTGCCTCCTAGGAAGCTGGTGCCAGGAGCCAGAACCGAGCTCCACATTGGGGCACTCCAACATGAAACGTTGGCACCTGAAGTGCAGGGCAGAATGTTGGAGTTCAATGAATCAGAGCGAGATGCCAAAGTGAGGGAAATGATTTTAATTTCTAGTCCAGGGGGCAACCTCTAGCCACAAGCAAGAAGCGCTTCAAGTGCAATAAGTGTGGGGTTTTTATAGTAAGAGAATCAAAATCTACGTGATAGTGAGCAAGTACATGATTAGGGGCTAAGAGTGACACAGAACAGAAAGCATGCGACAGGAATTTACAACGTGCAGGCTTGGGGTTCCTGATCATATCTCTTCAACGCAGAGAGTAGTAAAACAGCTTGCCTCCAAGGGAGCTGTCTTTCCCGTAAATCTCAAAATTCCAAGATTCTCCCTATCTCCTTTCTGCCTCTTGGTGTTTCAGGAAACATGAGCTTTTTCTCATAACAGGATGTAGGCGTTTCTTTGGAGATTCCAGACTTCCAGAAGCACACTCACCTTTATCATTAGCCCTGTCAGCAGAATGCCCATTCTCTTCCCATACACTTTAAATCATCTCAAGATGATTCCACAAGCATCACATGACGACACTTCCAGAAGCTCATGGAAGATGGAATGACAAGATGTCGATTTCCGGTGCAGAATTAGTTTTTGAAATTTCTGCGATTGGGCAGAGGAGTGTCTTTAAAAAGTTCAGTGGAAATGCATGTTCTGCTTTGAAAGGCAGAGTTATGGGACGGAAGGAGGAGTAGGAAGAGAACTCCCCCACTCACCGTTTATCCCCCAACTGGCCACAACAGCCAGGAATGGGCCAGGCTGAAGCCAAGAGCCTGAATCGCCATTTGAATTTCCCATGTGGTTTTGGGGCCCCAGGCACTTGGACCATCTTTTGTTGCCTTCCCAGGTACATTAGCAGGGAGCTGACTTGGAAACAGAACGACCAGGGCTTGAACCGGCACTCATATGGAATGTCAGTGTTGCAGGCAGTGGTTCAATTCCCTGTGCCTGATTTCAAATACTAGGAGTGGAGGTGGGGATCAAAGTAAAGTGTATTCCATTTTTCCATGGAGTCCCCTTGGACACTATCAATGCTATGTAAGCAGCTGTAACGATGTATTGTTGAGGGAGTCATGCCCTGGTGAGAAAGTCTGTGTGAGTTTAGCACAGATGTGATAGAAAATTTCCCCTCTGCAGTTTGCCATCTGCGGTTGCTTGGATCTGGGGCATGGACTGTCCCACCTGGTGTGTTGGTCCTACTGTGCGTACCAAGTAGGTTCTGGACCATCTGCCTGGCTCCCTGCGGGAGGCACCTGCTGCCTGGATGATAACATTTGTGCATAGCTTTTATTTTTTGTCTTTGGTTTGCTGTTTCCCTCTGGGATGCTGTGATGCTAACTGTTCTGTGATAGTGCTTGGTGCACCTGTTGCTACCCCGTGCTGAGCTCCCCCGACACACTGGCTTCCATTGATTATTTTTTAAGATTTGTCTATCTTTATTGGAAAGGCAGATTTATAGAGAGGAGAGACAAAAAGAAAGCTCTGTCTGCCGATTCACTCCCCAAGTGACTGTGACAGCCAGAACCGAGCCGATCCAAAGCTAGGAACCAGGAGTCTCTTACTGGTCTTCCATGCGGGTGCAGGGTTCCAAGGTCTTGGGCCTTCCTCTACTGCTTTCCTAGGCCACAAACCGTGAGCTGGTTGGAAAGTGGAGCAGCCAGGACACAAACTGGTAGCAATATGTGATCTTGGCACTTGCAGGTGGGAGATTAGCTGATTGAGCCATTGTGCCAAGCCCTTCCATTGATTGTGTGTGTGTATGTGTGTGTGTGAGAGAGAGAGAGACTCCCACCCTCACGCTGTGGGTAGCAGTCAGGATTACACAGAAGGAGACATCATCTTCCTCCTCTGTCCTCAGCTTCCCTGTCCCCAGTCTCCCTTCACATGACCCATCTCCCAGCCCGTTCCTCTAAGAAACCCGGCTCTTCAGTTGCTCGAGCAGCCTTTCCATATGTTCATAAAAAGTGGAATTAAAAGATAAGATTATTTGGATGTGCCAATTTTTAAAAATCATGCATTTTTTTTTCATAATACACATTAAATTTTGAAGACCCCAATATATGTATGACTTTAAAAAGTTTTATCACCCATCTTCTATTTTTAATTTCATTTTCATGAACTTTTCGAAGGAACCTTGCATTTCTTTTGCGCCAAAGAGCAGATCTCAGCATATTTCTTACTGTTTACTATGTCCAGGGCAGCTGACTGTGTGACTATACTGGTCCATACTTGGCTGTTTTCGTTTAATAATCTCTCCTGGAAATCACTGCATAGCAGTTTGGAGAGCTTACCCTCACTTTGTTTTTTTAAATTTTTTTAAATCTCTTTGTGTGGGTGTTTTTAAAAGTCGTTGTTCTATCTATGGGTACTGAGGCTATTAGCTTTATTTATTTATTCATTTTTAATTTTACTTCAGAGAGAGATTTTCCTTCTGTTGGTTTATTGCTCAAAAGTCTGCAACAAGCCTGGTCTGGGTCAGGCTGAAGGCAGGAGCCAGGAACTCCCATCTGGGTCTCCCACGTGGCTGGCAGGGATCCAAGCCATCACCACTGCCTCCCAGGGAAGGCATTTGCCAGGAGCTGGATGCCTGTGGGAAGAGGAGCCAGGACTAAGCCCTAGCCCTCCTGTTTGGGATGCCTGCATCCCAAGCTGTGTCTTACACCCAGTGCCCACCGCCCAGCTGCATCAGCCATATTTCTCAATTACAGCAGGTGCTGCCAGGAGCCATCAAAGGCAGGTGCATTTTTGAGTTGTTGGAGGAAGATCTGGGGCCCTGAACATAACTCTACACACTAGGCAGCCCGATTTTTGCAGTCTGATTTGGTTGCTAACATGGAGGAATCTGAAGCTTTCTCCTGGGATAGAGGAGGTCTCTGTGCACAGAGGCACCTGTGTGGCAGTCAGAGCCATCCCCTCGTGAGTAGTTCCTGTCATGCTGACTGAGAGGCTCTGCTGTGTGATGGCTGGCTTCGTCCCTGGTTGGCCTGCGGTCACCTGCGTTGGCAGCCCTTGAAAGGTCCCATGTGGAAGCAAAGCCTGCATGAGGACATCCTAACACGGAGGGTCCCAGCCATTTCCTGGCGCAATGCTGACCACATGGGACACTGCCCCAAGCGCTTTAGCCCTAACAGCTCTGTGTTTTTCTCCAGCAGCATTTGAGAGGCAGAAAGAGAGACAGAAGGTCCTATTTGCTGGTTTACTCCCCAGATGCCCATCATGGTAGATGAGGCCAGGCTGGGGCCATGGCTGGCACTGGGAGTTCATTCGGGTCTTCCACACAGGGGAGCGGTCATCACCTGTGCCTCCTAGCAGCTGTGTTAGCCAGGAGCCAGAGGCAGGATTTGAACCCCAGGCACCCCCATATGGGAGCCCGTAGACATCCACCTGCTATTGGTCCATTTTTCAGATGGAGAAACTGAGAACCAGAGAGGTGACTTGACTTGCCCAAGGAATGCAAATTTGGGGACTGTCAGAGTTGAGACGGGATCTGCCGCTATGCTACTATGAAATATCCTAGCTGCTTCTCTCCCCAGCACGCATGCGCACCTGCCTCACTGCCCTGCACCTCACTTCCACCCCCATTCCTTTCTGCGCAGGTGAGCCGGGCTCCATGACTGTCACCTGGACCACCTGGGTCCCCGCCGGCTCTGAAGTGCAGTTTGGGCTGCAGGTGTCGGGACCCCTGCCCTTCCGTGCCCAGGGCACGGCCAGCCCGTTTGTGGACGGGGGCATCCTGCGGCGGAAGCTTTACATACACCAGGTCACGCTTCGGCGGCTGCGCCCGGGGGTCCAGTACGGTGAGAGGGTCCCGGGCCAGGGCGGTGAGGGCAAGCTGGGAGATGAGGGATGGATTGCTGGACCCTGGGCGAAGGGCAGCCTGCTGTGGCTGATTCCTTTGCTCTCTCTGCAGTCTACCGCTGCGGCAGTGCCCAGGGCTGGAGCCGCCGCTTCCGCTTCCGAGCCCTGCAGCACGGGCCCCACTGGAGCCCCCGGCTCGCGGTGTTCGGGGACCTGGGCGCTGACAACCCCAAGGCCCTGCCCCGCCTGCGCAGGGACACGCAGCAGGGCCTGTACGACGCCGTGCTGCACGTGGGTGAGGCTCCGCACCAGGGTGCACCCAGGAAGGGGAGGGGACAGGGCCTGTGGGTGGTGTGAGCTGGGTGGGGGTCGCGGGGAGCATGCTGGCCCGGACCTGTGAGTGGTGTGAGCTGGGGGGTCACGGGGAGCATGCTGGCCCGGGGCCTGTGGGTGAGCTGAGGGTCGCGGAGAGCACGCTGGCCTGGGCCTGTGGGTGGTGTGAGCTGGGGGTCGCGGGGAGCATGCTGGTCTGGACCTGTGGGTGGTGTGAGCTGGGGGTTCATCGGGAGCATGCTGGGCCAGAGCCTGGGGCTGCCTACCCCACTAGTGGCCCTAGGCCATCGGTGGGCAAAGCAGAGCCAGGTCTGGTTCTCATTCTCCGCCTGCTCCCCTACCCGTCCCCAGGAGACTTTGCCTACAACTTGGATGAGGACAATGGCCGCGTCGGGGACAGGTTCATGCGACTCATCGAACCCGTGGCCGCCAGCTTGCCGTACATGACGTGCCCGGGCAACCACGAGCAGCGCTAGTGAGGCCAGCGGGCTGAGGGCGGGGCCTGCGGGGGCGTGGCTGTGTCGGGGCGGGACCAGGGCGGGGCCTGTGGGAAGGACTGCGCTGGGGGCGGAGCCTGCGGGGCGTGGCTGCGGCGGGGACGGGACCAGGATGGGACTGCACCGGGGGCGAGGCTGTGGTGCGGTGGGGCTCTGTTGGGGCGGGGCCAGCGGAAAGGCGGAGCCTTTGGGGCGTGGCTGCTGCGGGGGGCGGAACCTGCGGGCGTGGCTGCTGCGGGGGCGGGACCAGGGCGAGCCTGGGATGGGGCGGGTCCCGTGGGGGCGGAGCCGCGGCGGGGGCGGGATATGTGGGCAGGGCTGCGGGTGGGCGGGGCTCTGTTGGGGGCGAGGCCTGTGGGCGAGACATGGGCGTGTCCTTTCGGGGAGAAGCTGGGGCTGAAGTGGAGCAGGTGGGCGTGGTGCCCTCAGCCTTTCCCCCCATCTGCCTCCTGTATTCCAGCAACTTCTCCAACTACAAGGCTCGTTTCAGCATGCCTGGGGACACGGAAGGCCTGTGGTACAGGTGACGCATGGGCCTGACATGGAGGGTGGGAGAACAGAGGAGATCCCTGCACTCTGACCTCTGCCCTCTGCCCTCTGACCTCTGCCCTCTGCTCCCCTCACCCCCTCCCAGCTGGGACCTGGGTCCTGCCCACATCGTGTCCTTCTCCACCGAGGTGTACTTCTTTCTCCACTACGGCCACCACTTGCTAGAGAGGCAGTTTCGCTGGCTGGAGAGTGACCTCCAGGTAGGCGGGGTGGGGAGTGGGGAGCCCCAGCAGCCCCTCAGTCCCCCCCGCTGCCCTCCCCATCCCTTACTCAGGGCCTTCTTTTCTAGGAAGCCAACCGGCAGCGGGCAGTCCGGCCCTGGATCATCACCATGGGCCACCGGCCCATGTACTGCTCCAACGCTGATGTGGACGACTGTACCCGGCATGAGAGCAGGGTGGGGACCCCTTCCCCGGGGCAGGGGTGGGGGCTGCAGCAAGCCCCCCTCACTGCCCGGCTCCTTTCACCCAGGTCCGCAGAGGCCTGCGTGGCAAGTATGGGCTGGAAGACCTTTTCTACAAGTATGGTGAGTGATGCTCTCCACTGCTCCCAGACACCACAGCCCCGAGCCCTGAGCCCCCGACCTCAGGGCCCTGACGCCCACTCACTCTGTCTCAGGAGTGGACCTGCAGCTGTGGGCTCATGAGCACTCATACGAGCGGCTGTGGCCAATCTACAACTACCAGGTGAGGCACGCCCAGGGGGCTGGGGTCTGTGTAGTCGGGACCCCCCCCACACCGGGTCTGGCCTGGTGTGATGTCCCTGCCCCCTTGTTCCTGTGTGTAGGTGTTGAACGGCAGCCGTGAGGCACCCTACACCAACCCCCGAGGCCCTGTCCACATCACCACAGGATCCGCGGTGAGTGGAGTTGGAGGGGGTGCAGAGCGGGAGGGATGCCCAGTCGTGTGTGCATTTGTTTTTGTTAAAGAAATGTTACCTTTTTAAAAGATGCATTTATTTATTTTTTTAAGATTTATTTGTTTTTATTGGAAAGTCAGATATACAGAGAGGAAGATCTTTCGTCCATTGATCCAGTCCCCAACAGGCCTCAATGACTGGAGCCTCTTCGGGTCTCCCACACGGGTGCAGGTCCCAAAGCTTTGGGCCATCCTCGACTGTTTTCCCAGGCCACATGGCAGGGAGCTGGATGGGAAGCGGGGCTGCCGGGATTAGAACCGGAGCCCATATGGGATCCCAGTGCATTCAAGGCGAGGACTTTAGCTACTAGGCTATCGCGCTGGGCCAAAAAAATGTTACATTATTTTGTTTATTTTCATTTTATCTGAAGGGCAGAGACAGACCAATGGAGACAGATTTTTCCATCCGCTGGCTCACTCCCCCATATGCTCACAGCCAGGACACCACGGTCCAGTGTGGGTCTCCCATGTAGGGGGCAAGGGCTCAAGTGCTTGGGCCATCACCTGCTGTGTTCCAGGGTCTGCACTAGCAGGGGGTTGCAGCGCAAGCAGAGTAGCCTGGACTCAAACCCGGGCACTCCGGGACATGGTGTGGGCACCTCGAGCGGTGACTTCACTGCCTGCCCTGATTGTGGTAGGCCGGCCCCGGGGCCTCGGCTTTACACAGTGGCTCTCACTGAGCTCTCAGCTCAAAGACTGCACGCTCCTGTCACCAGGCCCACTGTACAGATGGGAAGACAGAGGTTCAGACGGGATCCCAGGTGTGCTCAGTGACAGCGTCTGAGGGTTCCCCTACTGCTATAAAAAAATAACTATAGCATTATTTTAAAAACTTTTTATTTTATTGGAAAAGTGAGAGAGAGCAAGAGGCAGCAGAGGCAGAGAGAGAATCTTCCATTTGCTGGTTCACTTCCCAGATGCCTGCTGACAGCTGGGCCGGGGCTTGGCCAAAGCCAGAAACTGGCAACTCCGTCAGTGTCTCCCATGCGGGTGATGGGACTAAGTTATCTGAACCAACACCTGCTCCCTCCCCAGGGTGCACATTGACAGGAAGCTGGATCTGAAGCGGAGGTGGGACTTGAACCTGCGCACTTCCAACGGGGCTGCGGGTGTCCGCAGGGGCATCTTAACAGTTGCGTGGAGCATTTGAAAGCCTTCTCTGCTAATCCAAATGAGGAATTGTCTTGAGAGAGATGTGTCACTGTGTCACCCACTATTTACAAATTGATTCCCAGCCTCAATGGCCCTCAGAAATACCTGGGCAACTTGGTTCCAGGGTCCCGCCCTGCCGGAAGGACTGCCTGTCTGGACTGGACACCCCTGTGTGGGTGTCAAACCCTGCTGCTTGGTCATCAGCTTCCCTCCCAAGCCCTGCCTACAGGGGCCTGCCCATTTCCCCTTGGCTTTTCATTTTGTTGCGAATTTCAAAATTCATTTCTGACCTACAAAAAGGTTCCAAAAGCCACACAGAGACCTCCCAGGGCCCTCACTCCATGTATCCCACAATGTGACCGTGTAGCCTCGTTGGCTTTCGTCTCCTACCCCTTTCTCCATTTTATTCTTACTTTCATAAGATAGGCCGCCCTCTGGCCCTATCTGTATTTCTCAAAAATGCCCCCAAAGCCGTTCTGTTCCATCGCTACAGCGTAGCTATCAACTGCAAGTAGCTGAGCCTGGGTATGCCAACGTCATCTCTCTCTCTCTTTTTTCTTTTTTAAGATTTGTTTTATTTTATTGGAAAGGCAGATTTATGAGAGAAAGAGAGACAGAGAGGGAAAAAGTCTCCCATCCGCTGCTTCACTTTCCAAATGGCCACACAGCCAGAGCTGGGCCGATCCGAAGCCAGGAGTGCTCCCCGAAGCTGACCGCGCTCCTCCCCGCAGGGCTGTGAGGAGCGGCTGACGCCCTTCGTCATCCTCCCCCGACCCTGGAGCGCTGTGCGCATGAAGGAATACGGGTACACGCGGCTGCACATCCTCAACGGGACCCATGTCCACATTCAGCAGGTGTCCGACGACCAGGTCAGCGGCCGAGCAGCCAGGCCCTGCGTGTTCTGCAGCTGGACATGTCCCTGGCCAGGATCTGAGCTCTTTGAGCATCGGTTTTCCCATCTGTGAAATGGGGTGGTGATAGATGATTATGTTTAAAGTGCTGAGAACCCTGGGGGGCAGGGCTTGGTCAGCTCGACAGGGGAAGGGACACCCTGGTGGGGGAGTGGGCCCAGGACAGTCTGAGGTGTGTGTGGTAGGGGAAGCTTCCCGCTGGGTAGAGCTGGGCGGTGGCAACTCCTTTGTTGTTTTTTGTCGTTGGCATTGTTAAATGAGTGTCCCGGAGCACCTGCCTGGCGCCCAGCCCTGGACAAGCTGCTGGAGCCTCAGCAGCACTTGTCAGCCCCACGGTGGCCCCACAACACCCCACGACAATCCTACACCCGCAGATTTTTCTTTCCACTTCACAGGAGGGCTCAGAGAGGGCACAGTCTGCTGCAGGATGGCAGGCCTGGCGGCTGTGCCCCAAGGGTCGCTATTTGCAGTGCAAATAATTCCCACTTACTCTGTTGGGAAGACCTGGTACATTCTCTGGTGACCCCGTGTGGGCTGCTCCCTAGGAAGTTAAGCTTCCTGCCCCAGGACACAGCAGGGAGGGAGGCGCCAGGAGGGCCGGCCCCTTCCCCAGGGCCTGACAACCCGCAGGAGTCCAGGAGAGCACCCGGACATTGAGGTCAGCCTCTCCACCTTTCTCTGACTTGGTTCCTTGCAGGATGGGAAGATCGTGGACGATGTGTGGATAGTGAGGCCCCTGCGTGACCGGAAGCGGTACCTCTAGCGACGGGGGCCGCTCTCTCGAGGAGCCCTGTGTCCTGATGCCTTGGCAGGTGTCAGCACTGCTGTCATCGCCACTGAACACCGCCCAAGCATGCCCTGTGGCGGGCCGGGACGACCGTGCAGGAGGGCAGGGCCTGGGACCACCCGTCAGCTCACTGCAGTGGCTCCCTGGACTCGCATTTCTGCTGGGGGAGCTGCCTGCCAGGCCTTGGGGTCCCACAGGTGGGCGCAGCCGGCAGGGCAAACATGGCTTGCCAGCAAGGGATGCTCACGGCTTCTTTACCTGGACCTGGCCCTCAGTGCATGAAGCCTGCCTCCTACCTCAGTGGCTCTCGGAGTAGCTTCCCAGGGGCCCCCTTGTGCCTCAATTCCCCAATCAGGACCTCACCGACCGCTGTGGGCCACCTCACAGACCTCTTCTCTCTCTCCTTCTCCGTTTCATTTACACAGCTGTGGTTCTGGTAGCACCTGCTGGCCAGGTGGGCAGATACCCACAGGAAGAGGAACAGCTGGTGTAGAGGCCAAGAGACAGAAAGGGGAAAACTTTGCCAGAGCAGACAGAAGGGCAAACTCGGGGCCACACTCCACACTGCCCAGCGCAAGGCAACGCGACTTTGCCTCAATGAAGGCCAGGCTCTTGCCAGGCAACCCCCATGTCCTGTTGGGGGGTATTCAGGGACAGGCCCCTGGTGACAAGCCACCAGGGCAAGGAGGGTCAATCCAACCCCGCACAATCACATCTGGCAGGTCGGGGGGTGGGGGGCACCCTGCACAGCCACTCCAGGGCAAGGGGAGGCTGGAGCGGGCCAGGGCCAGACACTGGGTCCAAACCCCTGTGTGACCACTGGCAAGTCGCACAGCCTCCTCTGGAACCTTTGGACGGGGTCGCCTGGGGATTAAATGAGATCGACAGCCTCCCTGTTGTCCTGCCTCCTGTTTGTCTCACGCCCCACCCCTACTCAGCTGGTGAACCCTACCTAGCTTTGACCTTTCTCTCTGCAGCCTCCATTCCCCACTTGCCTCGTCCATCACCCTTTTCCCACCTGTCCCGGGGCTCCTGCTCCCTCTGCACCTGCACAGTTACGTCCCCGGCCCTCCCAGCAAAGCATCTGCATCCCAAGACCTTGGGACCCTGCCTCTGACATACCTGTGTCCCCTATCAGAGCCCTGGAGGAGGCAGGCGAGAGGCCCACCCCATTGCCTCCACACCCTCACCCCTGCCCCCGCCACTAGCGCTCCCCGCTCCGGCCACACCCTCCCGTCCCCCCATTGGCTCCTCTCTCTGCCTGGTCAATGCTCCCCACTTTGCTCAGCCTAACCCCCAGAGAGGCCTTCTCCTCCATCTGCCTTCCCCAGGCACTGTTTCCTCAGAGCCCTGAGCCCCTGCGATCTGTTTCATTGCTTGTTCTCTTGTGTCCCAGTTTGGGAGTTCTAGGGCAGCTGTTTGGGAGCTGCAATGAAGTCCGTGCTTGGGGTGTTGGCATCTGTTATCCCAGACCCGATTAGCGCTAGCCACTACCCACCTCCCCCCACCACAGCTTCCGAACCAGCTTCCTGCTGCTGCCCCTGCTCACTTTAGAAGGCAGCTGGTGAGGGTTCAAGGCCCCGGTCTCTGCCTTCCCACCCGCGGCGGAGACTCAGCTGCAGCTCTGGGCTCCTGGCCAACCTCAGCTGTTTGCAGCATCTGGGGAGTGAATCAAGTGGAAGAGCTCACCTTCCATGTCTCTGCCTTTCAAATAAAATGAAAATAAGTAAACATTCAAAAAAGAAGAAAAAGCAAAGAAGGGGGAGCTGGTGCGTGGCACAGCAGCTTGAACCACTGTCTGGGACACCAGCATTCCATATGGGCACCAGTTCGAGTCCCAGCTGCTCTACTTCCAGTCCAGCTCCCTGTTAAAGTGCCTGGAAAACAGTGGAAGATGGCCCAAGGACTTGAGCTGGTAAAACTCACCCAGGAGGCCTGAATGAAACTCTAGGTTCCTGGCTTCAGTTTGGCCCAGCTCTATCCGCTTTGGCCATTTATGAGAGTGAGCTAGAAGTCGGAAGATCTTCCTCTGTGTCTCTCTCAGGATACTCTTCAGGATGATGTCCCTCTCCTGGGGTGTGCCGTGGGCTGGGTGTGGGGGCTCCAGAGCTCTGGGGCTCTGCCTGCTGACAGATTCCCTCACAAAGTGGCCAGTACACCTCCCCCATCACAGGCCCTGAGAATTAGGGCAGGCATTGAGGAGACATTGAGTGCAGTGGTTAAGCTGCCTCCTGGGTCCCCTGCATGCCCTATCAATGCTAGGTTCAAGTCCCGACTCCTCTTCCAGTTTCCACCTCCCATGGGACATCTGCATGCGCTGGCAGGCAGCAGGTGACAAATGGGTCAGGAGTCGGGACTTTGGCATCCATTTGGGAATTCCAGCTCCTGCCTTTGGTCTGGCCCTGTCCTGGCTAGGGAGTGAACCAGCAGGTGAAAGCTCTTTATCTATTTGTCTATCTGTATGCCAAATAACTTTTTAAGAAATAGATGAAGACTGGGCCCAGTGTAGTAATGTAGTGGCTAAAGTACTCACCTTGCGTGTGCCGGGATCCCATATGGGTGCCAGTTGGTACCCTGGCTGCTCTGCTTCCCATCCAGCTCCTTGCCTGTGGCCTAGGAAAGCAGTGGAGGATGCCCAAAGTCTTGGGACCCTGCACCCATGGGGGAGACCAGAAAGAGGCTCTTGGCTCCTGGCTTTGGATTGGCTCAGCTCTGGCTGTTGCAGCCACTTGGGATGCAAATCAGTGAATGGAAGCTCATTCTGTAAATCTGACTTTCCAACAAAAATATAAATATTTATTTATTTAAAAATTAAAAATAAATATATTTTTAAAAATAGGTGAAGACTCCACCCGGTTTCCCTTCAATCATGGTGACCTGAGTTAGGTACTGTCGTCTCAGCCACTTGGCTTGCTGTTTGAAATCTGGAGAATTTTTCCAAGACGTTGTTCTGGGGGAGATGGCTGCAGTGCGCGTCGCCGGCCGTGCGGGGGCGGCAGAGCGCAGTCAGTGAGCCGGGCGACCGGAGTTGCTGGTGGATGCGCAGCGAAGTGGGGGACCCTGGGCAGGTGGATGGAATTCCTCGGCTGGCCTCCTCCCAGCAGAGAGATGCATAGCGGTAGCTGCTTGTTGTTGATGCCACATGGCTGGGCCCCACACGCCTCCTGGGGCCAAGAATCAACTTCAGCCTGACTCAGCTTTCTCATGGGTGTTTAGGGGAATGGATGCAGAGCTGGAAAAATCCCTCTGTATTGTTCTGCCATTCAGTAGGTAAAAGTAAAAACATAAAAAGAAAATCTTACAGTTAATCACATGGAATATTAGTGATATTTATAACCTTGTTTTTAAATGGCACAAGGTTATTAATGTGTGTCTCCAGTCTCATTCAGGGATTAAAAGGTAGGGGCACGTGTTTCCATGGGCATGGATGGGGTTTGTATACCTTGCCCGGCAGGGGAGACACCATGTCTGGGCGGGGACAAGCATTTGCCAGAAGGCTGAGCCCCTCATACTCCATGCCCCAGTACCAGCCAGGACCCTGGGGGATTGTGGAGTAAGCAGTTGATGGCTGAGACAGTGCCTGCTGCCTGAACCCAGCTCCAGTTCAGAGCTGAGAAGGCTGTGTGTGTGGAGTTGGTGTAAAGAGAAAAGATGGACCACTACAAATTCAGGATCACAATGGACAATGCAAGAAAAGCTGCCCCCTTTATATCTACAGAAGCAGTCATGGTCAAGTGGGTGTTTCCAAGGGTAATTGTGCCATTTGCTTCACCTTAAAGCAGTACATTATCCGTTCTGATCCTTCCGTCAGGAGGTTCTGAACAGACAAATCAATCAGTAATGCATTCCTACTACCTTCTTCATTTTACAACTTTATCTTATCAGCCAAAGGAGAAAATGCATCACAGAAGGAAAAACCTAAAGATCATAGACCAAAAAAAAAACCCCTCAAACCCCGTCCATCCCTGATTCCCACCACAGCATGGGCTAACAACCCTAGATTAGTCTAAAAGCATGTTTTACAAATGTTAATAAAGACGTTCTTGAGCTCTTCCAGCCAATGGTCAATGGGGGAGGGGGGCAACTGAAACAGCAGGAATTGTTCAACACCTGGTTACTGACGCCTTGTTAGCAACATCAATTCCCAAGCTCATGTTGTTTGTAAAACCCAACTCAATGCCTCAACAGATTACACAACTCTCAGCAGGTGGTCGGGTGATGGGGGCGGCGTCCATGCAAAGGGGGTGGAACCACCTTGAAATGGTTTGGGGAGTCATCCGCCAGGCCTTGCCCATGCTGCAGGCATGTCCTCACAGCCCTGGCAGCAGAGGAGCAGTTCTCTTCACACCTTCGTGTCATCCACACCCACTGCAACCGGCTATTTTCAAGAAAAACAAACAAACAACAAGGTACCTAAGTGTTCCTGCTAGGTGGGTGTCAGGTTCGCGAGCCCCAAAGGAGGGGATCCGGGGATGCTTGAGAAGCCGCAAGAACACGTCCTATTTAATGAAAAAGGTGGGAGGGTGACATCATCTTCAGATCAGTGAAATCCACAGCATTCCAGAACTATCCAAGCCACTTGGACAGAACCCTCGGAATACGTGCACATGGAGACTGTGTTAATATGAGGTGGCGGCTCCTCACCCCTGGGTACTAGGATGTGTGCAAAGTCACAGGCGGATTCCCCCTTTGTCTCTCCCCTTCCCCCAGGAACAACAAGAAACAGCAAATTTGGAAGCAATGAATTCACCCAATTTTCCCTAAACCTAGATCCTTCCCACCCCAGTCAAACATGCAATCGTTTTTTTTTAAAAATAATTACTTGTTTTTTAAAGCTAAGTATAAGTGTATTTTTGTCCTTTTTTGTGTGTTTTTGGTGCTTGATTTTCTTGACACTTTTAAAACATGAAGATCAGCTAGCGTCGGGGTCTCAGGCCCAGGCAGACTGGCCTTCAAAACCCATTGCGGGGTCTGAG